ACATCAGCAAGCCTGATGCAGGGCTCCAACCCACGAACCGTGAGATCACGACTTGAGCTGAAGTCAGATGCTCAACCAAGCCACCCAGATGCCATTACAATGCCACTATTCCTACTAAAAAAATTTAGAGGGGAAAATATGATCACTTTCCATAAAAATGTGTTATTTACATTAACATAGTAGGCTTCTTATTGTTATTCCAAAATGAAGTAATATAGGCATATTTTCAAAAATGTCTCACTTTTCATTTCTAACATGGTAAATATCAGTAAGACATACCAACCCCCCCCAAAGGATCTTTGGGTGTTGATTTGTTTTTAGGAGTGCCAGGGGGCCCTAAGACCCAAGAGTTTGAGGATTGTTAAGTCCGGCACTTGTAGTCTGTATCTTTTACTTGACCAAGTAGATACACTTAGCTTTATTGAACCTCTGTATCTTTATTATTATCAGTTACAGTTTCATTTAAACAGGTCATGAATCCAATTCCCCCCCCACCGCTTTGTGATATCACTGGGACATTCAGTGCTTTGCAACAGCAACTTCCTTCTACACACAGGCCACTCAAGGGCAGGAGGTTTACATTGGCCTGTCTTGTTCTTATAAAAGCCTAGTTTACATTTCTTGATTGGAAGAGAACCATGGAAACAGAAAGACTTAATCGAATTAAAATATACACAGTATGAGTGCTCCAAAGATAGTGATTGACCAGAATGTTGTATAAAAGGAAATAATCAATGCGAGAGTCAGGACAAGTGTATAGATTGATTCGGTTTTGTCTTTTTTAATTAATGGAAATTTTTTTCCAAAATTTTTTTTTTTCCAACATTTATTATTTTTGGACAGAGGAGCAGAGCATGAACAGGGGAGAGGGGGCAGAGAGAGAGGAGACACAAGACCGGAAGGCTCAGGCTCCAAGGCTCGAGCCATCATTGAAACCAAGGCATGGGGGCTGAAACTCTGGACCGGGAAATGCATTGACCTGGCTGAGAATCGGCGTAACCGACTACTTCATCAACCCAAATAAAACTTTTTTAGCATTTATTTTATTTTTGAGGCAGAGAAACAAACATGAACAGGGGGAGGGGCCCAGAGGAGAAAGGTCTGGGGAATGACATAGGCTCCAGGCTCTGAGTGGTCCAGCACAGAGCCTGATGCAAACTTGAACTCATGCACGTGAGATCATTGACCTGGGCAGAGATCAGGTGACCAGCAACAGAGCTGAGCCACCAGGTGCCCCCTAAGTTTTGATCTTCCCAAAATGCTGTGAGAGTGGGTCTCCAATTCCAGCGTGCATAATAATCAGCCAGTAGTAAGCATCAAAGGCAGGTTTAGGGAGGGAGAAACTGGTGGCTGTTGGTTAACTGTCAGGCGACTTAAGTCATGATCCACTTCAGTTGGGAGAGTTTGGTCCCCCTTCAGACTCCTTGGCTGACACCATGGAGCCCTGCTTGGGATTCTTTTTCCTCCTCTTTCTCTTTACCCCTCTGCTGCTGCTCTCTCTCAAAAAGAAATAAACATGAAAATAAATAAATAAATACATTATGCAAGTAAATAAAGATGAGTTTATTGGCCTCATCCTGAATTCTAATTCATTAGATTCAAAGAAAAATCCAGGAATCTGCATTTGAAATAATTTTGAGCCCCCCCCCCAGGTGCTCAGTCATTAAACATCAACTCTTTGGGCTCAGGTCATGATCCCAGATTCATGGGACTGATGTGGCTTATTTAAATTCTCTCTGTCTCTCTCCTCTACTACACATCTCCCCACGCTCTCTCTCTCTCTACTTTGCTCTCTCACAAATAAAATATAAATATGAGCGCCTGGTGGCGCCAGTGATTCAGCGTCCGACTTCCGCCAGGTCACAGTCTACATGAAGTCCGAGTTGAGCCCAGCGTCGAACTCTGGAGCTGATAACAGAGCCTGGAGCCTATTTCGATTCTGTCTCCCTCTCTCTCTGCCCTCCCCGTTCATGCTCTGTCTCTCTCTGTCCCAAAAATAAATAAACGTTGAAAAAAAAAATTAAAAAAAAAAATAGTTGCATAAATACCACACTTTATTTTACAGTTCCCTATTCCCATTCAAATTGTTTGATCTTTTTATAACAAACAACTCAAAAGTCTTTGTTCATTTGTAGGAAAAGTTTTTAGAAATGCAATTGCTTGATTAAAAGGCATATACATTTCAGATTTAATAGCTGTGCTTGGCATTTCTTTTTTTTTTTTTAATGTTTTATTTATTCTTTGCAGAGAGAGAGAGCATAAGCGAGGGAGGGGCAGAGAGAGAGAGGGAGACACAGATTCAGAAGCAGGCTCCAGGCTCTGAGCTGTCAGCACAGAGCCAGCCCGACCACAGACTCGAACTCATGAGATCATGACCTGAGCCGAAGTCAGACGCTCAACCAACTGAGCCACCCAGGCACCCCATGGGCTTGGCATTTCTAACGACCACCTTATGTGATTCTCTCCAGGTGGTTCTATCACCACATCTAGAGAAAAAACTGTTCCAGGGGAAAGAACCAAACAGATGATCATCAGTTACATTTTAGGACTTTACCCCGCTAAAGCCAAGACAATAGAGATTTTACATAAAAACACAATGACCATCTTTAAAGAGGACAAAATTTATTTCATCTTATGTAAATAAAAGTCGCTTGGATATGTGTGTGTGGAGGGGAACACTATAAAGCACGTGGTATAAATATACAATGAACCATTTATAATATTGTCAACTGTGAATAATAACATAGTTTAAACAGGAAGTGTTAATATGTTTGCTGTAATTCTTCATAGCATTCTGTTTTATTCTGTTGTCCACATGAATGCTGCAAGCAGGTTTTACTGTTTTTGTAAAATGGGAACTTCTGATTTGGTAGAAATCACCCTTCCACAAATGCAGAAAGTCAACGAACAGCTGTATGAACTGCACCTCAGCGGGTTTAACTTGAGTGTAACGAAAGCCGGAGAACTGGATAAAAAGTTCATGTTTGTGATGCACAGCCAGCAGCGTGAACATCAAAATGCATGGTCTATAGCACCGTTCAAAATACTGAACACCGCCTCTTGTTAATTTGGTGTTGTCTGAACATGAAAGTAATGGAAGGCTTGTAGTCAGTTTTAAAACACATGTTTTGTTTTTTTCTCAATCTAGTTATCTGATATTACAGTAAATACATATAGAGAGATAGAGCATTGCCTCAGGATTTAAGAATACCTTTATCAAAATAGACAGCTGGATTCTTAAACAGCAGCCAAAGCTGTAATGGTAACAAATAGGTCGTTGTGTTGAACCAAATGAAGTATGCATGCAATTTATTATCTATAACAATTTACAGGCGATTCTTGAGTCATTAGAGGTAATATTGAGTGTGCATACTAACTATGCTTTTGTTTCTCCTTTCCATTAGCTGCCTTTTATTATTATTGTGATTTTGGTGGTCCCTTTAATCACACAACTCCTCCCACGAGACATCGGAACAGGAAATAATGGAGACAAAACAAAAAGGAAATTTGTCCCCGTAATCCCTTGTCAACAGCTCTGAAGCGTTTGGTGGAGGAAAAGCCTGAAACTATTGGGTAAAACGAAGCTTGGGGTAACATTCTGTGATTCCAATTGTTAGTACTGTCCCTGCTTCTAATTACCAAGGATAACAGAATGGTCTGTGCTCACTTTAGATAAATTTGACCCAAGACATTGGGCAATGATATTAAAGGATTTTTACGTGTGTGAGGAGCAAATTGTAAGTAGAAATTTACACGGTTCTAAAATATGTGTAAACAAGTAAGGCGGCCAGAAATTTCAAAATCTGGGAAGAACATTCTGTAGTCCGAAAACTGTTCTGGCTTAGAAAAATAAACATCTCAGATAAAGGAAGAGCATTATTTGATGTCATGGACCACAGTTATCTTTTGTGCACGAAATCAGTCAAGAGAACTATTTTTGGAACCTCGACAAGCTCAGGCAAATGAACTGTCTCCCTAACAAGAGACTCTAGAGAAGGGCTACTGGTTAGCACTACTCCATTGTCAGGTGCACAGACATCTAGACTAAGGGAATTCTGTTTATGAACCTCACAATTTGATAGTCTCACATTTTGGATTAGTAACACACTTTAAAAATGATTAACTGCCAGCTTTAGATATCAGCCAGCAATTACTTCTCTGCTTGATTTATTGGGTGGGAGAAATTCAGAAAAAAATTTTTTTATAAACCCCAGATCATGCCCCCAAAACGAAGAGGCCAATGATATGAATAAACATGCTTGAATCATAGCCCTTGATTCAATGTTTGTGTGACAAATACGACCTCTCACTAAGGAAATCATTATTATTTATCTACGTTTTGTCTTAAGGTTCAGTTTATAGCTAGATATTGAATTAGGATTGACGGCAGATGATTTTCTTAGAGGCAGATTTAGAAACCGTACTCCCCAGCTGCAGGATTCTTTCATAAAAATATAAACTGTGTTTCTCTGATTGTACTAAAGGTATTACTTTTGAAATTAGAGCCTGCTTTTCACTAGTAGATCAACAGCTCCCTGTAACAAGTTCTGAAACCTAGTTCTACTCTTGTGCTTGAAACCCAGTCCTCTGTAAGCTTTCCAAAAGCATTTGGCTAATTTCCACCTTACAAAGAGTAGTTGAGTTGAGAAGATTTTATTCCCCGTGTTTGTTTCAAAAGCTGTAGCTACAACCTTAGTCGCAGGGGATGATGAAAGAGAATAGTTTTTGTAAGGGCATTTCTACCGACTATTTGGTAGGGTGTCTTCGAAGGACATTGTCTTCTCTAAGACATACGCAGGCTTTAATACCTCCCAGCATTGCCTCTCCCCAAACGGAAAGGCAGTGCTGCTTTCGAACGAAGTCACGACCACGGCATTTACAAATGACAGTGCCCGTTACCACCCAAAGCCCTTCCCCACAATGTCACAGGCTCCTCACAGCAATCATGTGAGGTAGGCGTGGGCACCACAAAGAAATCTTCCGGGAAACATAACATGACACTAAACATGTGAGCCATCCATGTATTTTTTTCTGGATTGTTCGATAATTTGAATACACGGTTGAATGAGTAAAAAGAGTATTCCTACCATGTAGAGTAAGCCACATATATAGAAGGAAAAATCATATTTTTCTGTGATGTCATAGATCCAGCCTGCAAAACCAAAAAAAGAATATATTCAGTGTAACATAGCTGATGAAAGTCAAGAACACAGTTACTGCTCCTATAAATATTTCTATAAGGATTTAGTTATAGGTCATGTAATACCCCAAACATTTCATTTAGCCATTTTTTAAAGGTTTTTTTTTTTTGAATGTTTATTTTTGAGAGAGAGAGAGACAGAGCATGAACAGGAGAGGGGCAGAGAAAGAGGGAGACACAGAATCTGAAGCAGGTTCCAGGCTCTGAGCCGTCAGCCCAGAGCCTGACGCGGGGCTCGAACCCACAAGCCGTGAAATCATGACCCAGGCAGAAATCGGACACTTAACCGACTGAGTCACCCAGGTGCCCTTCATTTAGCTATTTTTAAGCCCAGGCTACACAAGCCGGAGTTCTCGGTGCCTGGGAAAGGCACGGCAGGCATTTTTCTCTAAGCTGCTAGGGCACCTTACAAAGTACTCAAGGCCTGGAAACAGTGGCTGGCTGACTGGGAGCCACTGGGAGGATGTGATGTGCAGCTCTCAGGGTCTCTCAGGCTGGCACAAAGCCAGCAGTTGGAAAGTGAACCCAATGATTTTTTTTTTCACAAATATAACCACCAATCTTTTCTCAAACTTTCAAAACCCTTCTGAAGGAGTTTCTGGTGTATACCAAAAAAGGCTGAGACATTTGAACCTTCATTCACTGTGGAGTGTTTGAGAGTAAACATCTATTCTATAAAGAAGACAAGTTTCCATGTTTTATAAATTCATACTTACAGCTATAAAACTTTAATATATATATTATATAACTATATGTTATAATGTTAAAATGTGGAAGAAAAAAAAAAGGTCTCAGAAACTATGAAACACAGTTACACCCCAGTGATTAAATCTAAGAATCAGTCACATGTCATGGTCCCACGACATGCAAACCATGCAAACTAAGAGGATTAAACCATCCACAAGAATTTCATTTATGGTGAAAACGTAAATTTTGAACATTCACTTTTTTTCAGATGCACACGTACATTAGCAAAGACATAAGGAAGATAGAAATGATTTAATGATGAAAGGGAGTACTTTGTGACCACCTTTCAAAGCTATCTTTTCAAAACTATCTGGCAAATGAATGCATAAACGCAACTAAACCTTCTCCCACCCACAAATAGCTACACAAAAGCAACTGCTCAATATGTCAAGCAGTGCTTCTGACTTCCTGGCTCTTGTCTTTATCTCTTCATTCATTGTATCTCCTGCATAATTAATGCGACCGGGCGAGTCAAGGTAGTCATAAGGAAAGCAAACACTTGACAGCATGAAACATTGACATATTGTAACCGCTCAAAAGTGGTGGGCTCCGGATATACTTTAGAAGTTAACCAACTTTTTTGAGTTTGTTCTTTGATAGAAACACACGAAAGAAGAAAATACCGGGCTCTTGAGATGTAGCTTAGTAAAATGCTCTCAGGTTTTCTTAATTTCTGATCCGAGACAAGAGGAACAAGGGAAGATTGAACATATACCCCAGAGACAGACGTGACTTCCAACGGAATCAGAAGGGACTCTGACACGGACAGGCGAACGAGACCGCACCCAACTTGGCTCTGTGTCACCGCCTGACACCTGTGCGCCACTGTGACCTATGAAGGGCCTGCTTGCAGATAACGCGGTGCCCTGTCCCTACAAACGGATTATGTGACGGGACCATCTACAAGCTACAGTTAAAAACAATCGGTAAAACGTAAATGAGGTTCCCATACTCCACTCATCCCCTATGAATGGTGACCATGTCATTTCAATGGGTAAATCTGTGCTTTTCATATGACCGAGTGACAGGGTAGAAAGAATGACCAATGCCTGACAGCTGGAACGAGGTGACCCATCCCTGCTGCTGAACATGGGTCTCAGAAACAGGACAAGATCTTAACTGATTGGAAAATCAATTTGTATGCAGATCAGACTATTTATTTCCTTTACTTTTTTGTTTGAAGGGGTTGAAATAAGTTCCCAGGGCTCTGCGTTGTGGCCCCTCCCTCCCCTGTAGCCCCAAGCTTAACCACGAGCACAAGCCACACTCAAGTTTTTATAGTTTCTTATTTATTTATTTAATTATCTTTTGAGAGAGAGAGAGAGAGAGAGAGAGCCAGCGCATGCACATGCATGCAAGCAGTGGAGGGGCAGAGAGAAAGAGGGGGGGAGAGAGAGAGAATCCCAAGCAGGCTCCACGCTGTCAGCACAAAGCCCGATGCAGGGGCTCGAACCCACGAACTGTAAGATCACGGCCTGAGCTGAAATCAAGAGTTGGACACTTAACCCACTGAGCCACCTGGGAGCCCCAACCATTAGGATTTATTTTTAAATGACCCTGGTTCCTGCGGTTTCTCTTTGGTGCTGGTTTTAACATTTCTGCCACTTTGAATTTAAGCCATCCCTGCGTCAGATGCAAAGCAGGTCAGGAGAGACAGGGCTTTGCCACGTGCCTTGATCCTCAACACGCAGGGACGTAACCCTTCAGAGAAACGATGTTTCTGACAAGCTGCCCACCTCATTCATCCTTCACCACCTCTCCCTACAGGTCTGATCTCGGTTCCTCGGTTTGGAGACTGGCATCTTCGGCAACCTTGATTCAACCACTAATTCAAATCAACAGCTTCCAGGTAAAATCTGGTTCCCTATTAAATTGCATTCACTGTTCACTGGAGTCTGTCAAATGAGGAATGATAGATGTTTTTCTTATTTATTAAATAGGTGTTCCCAGCTTTTGAAGGAAAACATTGTTAATTGCTATATTTTAGGCAAACAGAGGACGTATGTGTGTACAGATTCTTAGTCAAATCTGGTGGCCACGTTTTGCTATATTTTACATTGGAAACTTCTAGAAAAGTATCTACTATTATTACATCTTTCAAAGGGATGAACTGAATGCCCAACAATGCTAGAAATGAATTAGATCAAAAAGTTCATGTTGCTAAATGCCGGGGCTGAAAGGTCTGTTCAGTATTTTATTGTATGTTCTTCTCCTAAATGGAACTGTGTGATCGTCTAACCTGCTACTAAATGGTACCAGATTTTTTAATGCCAGTAGAAATCACTTTGACAAATGGGAAACATATTCATTTCTGAACCCATTAAAAGAGAAAAAAGTAATGTGAACAATCATCTTTCCTGTAGCAAACCCAGCTAAGCAATAATTTCTAGCCCACCTTGAATTTCTAGCAAGAATTTCATGTGGTAATTTGGTTACTCATATTGCCAGTCGCTTCTGAACTATGATACACAAAAGACTAGGCTTCCATCCCATTGCGATGTTGGCTCCTTGGCCTGGAAAGTCAATGGATTAAATAAACACAGTGCAATTAGCCAATGATGTCGTCAGCATTCCTTAGTGCACGAGTTTGGTGCAAGATGAAGAAACAAACAAAAAGAAAGAAAATCCCCTTCAGTTGGTGGCCTAGAGACGCACAGCAGAACATTGATTTTACAGTCCCCAGGGCAGCCTTTGACATCCATTCATAGATGATTCTTAACCATTAATGCAGCGGTTTCTACCATCTGTGGTGGGAACCTTGAAGCAGGCAGAGATAACACATGATGATTTGAGGGTTGGGTATAACTCCCTGCTCTGGTTCTAATTTCTTTCTCTCCCACTCCAAAAGGTGCCCTAGAATGCAAATCAGTGAGAAGGACGTGACCATGAGAATTGGATAAAGAAAGTATGCTGGCCAACTTTGGTGCTTTAGTTAATGCAGATCCTGAATTGCATGTGCCACACGTCACAGCTGTGTTGTGGTGCTGCTATTGAAATCTGGCGGATCAGTATAAAAATAACCCCAGACTGACCATTAGAAGCAGAAAGTACGTGGGGCACCCGGGTGGCTCAGTCGGCTAAGCATCCGACTTTGGCTCAGGTCATGATCTCACGGTTCGTGGGTTCGAGCCCCATGTCGGGCTCTGGGCTGACAGCTCGGAGCCTGGAGCCTGCTTCGGATTCTGTGTCTCGCTCTCTCTCTGCCCCTACCCCGCTTGTGCTCTGTCTCTCAAAAATAAATAAATGTAAAAAAAAAAAAATTTGTTTAAATAATAAAAAAAAAAGAAGCAGAAAGTACACCTGGATCATGAAAAGAACCGTCAACGACAGATTCCATTTCCAAATCAATACATCTGAAGAACTTTCAACAAGAGAGTGGGTGAGCCACTGATCATATCCCCATCCCTTTAATGGATATTTCGGTTTAACATCTCTAGGAAGTATCGTTGGTTGCCTGATCCAACCCCCAATCTCAATTCTTTTCTCCTTTCCTTCCTCTACTACAGAGGCTAGAAAGCAAAATACAGTTCCCTCGAAGCTTAGACTGGCTATGTGACACAGTTCTGGCCGGTCAGATGGAAATGGAAGTCTGCTGAAACTGAGCCTTTCTTCCCATCCTCCTCCTTATTATAAATGAAGATGTAGGGGCTGGAGCTGCAGCTGTCATTGTGCGGCCATGAGGCAATTAGCATAAGGAAAAGGCCAGAAGGATCTTGGAGACGCTGTCCCTATACCATTCAGTATCTCTGAATTACAGATTTCTGATTATGCGACACAACTAAATCTCTGTTTAAGCTACCATTGGTGGGGTGCTCTCTTACAGCCAACTGCATCCCTGAGAGGAAATTCTGCATGAGATCCCTGAGCAAGTTCTAGCTTTTCAGCTACCAGTTTGGTTTGCTACACTGCCTGTTAATCACTGTCACCTAGAAATGCTGCACCCGCATGTCTGTGTATGGACAGAACAGGAGCAGCCCCCCGTGTAGCCAGTAGGTTTCCTAAACTGAGTCTTGGGTCTTAAACCTTTACCAGCCAGTGCTATCAGCTGTATAGGCAAAAATCCATGATTTCTTGAATCTCACATTCTGTGGGGGACTTAAAAATGAATGTGTTGACACAAGCCTTCTGCCAGTGGGGTAGGAGGATAGGATATGACTGTATGATCCCTAGAGAGACTAGGAAGGAAAGGGCGGGGAGGGCTTTGTCCTGCAGCCATGGGGTTCTTTGGTAGAGGTATTCCTGCAGAGGATATGAGAATAAAGGGCCAGGAGGGGCCAGGCAAGTAGGGGGTGGGGGCACCCGAACGGGTGAGGCTCTACCAAGTCACTTGAAATCACTGCACAAAAGCTCTGGCAGCTTTGATGACAGCTACCGGCCCTGACCTCGCAGCCCTGTCAGCCACCTCTAGGTGGCACCTATGTGTTGATGTCTGGCCCCAGCCCCTGCCACACTATGTGGGCTCCTGCCTCCAATCTTTGGACAGAGAGTTGACTTCGTCACCTTCGCCCAGTACCTGGCCTCTTGGGGGCTGAGTCTACCTGCTGATACGTTTTCCACAAACAACAGGTTCAGAGAGATCCCCGGCTGCCCTAGGACTCCTGAGTACCCGTGATTTCTGGTACGCCCACTGCGGCAAGCAAGTTCCTCACTGAACTCAGGTGAACACGTGGGAGAGAGCTGGCCCCGGATGTTGTCAACTGGTGGCCTCTGGGCCTCTGGCGGGCAGAATGCCCCAAGTCTCCCCAGCTGCTCACGTCCTAGTCCCTGGAACTTGTGAATGTTACCTTACGTGGCAAAAGAGACTTGGCAGATGGGATTGAGTTAAGGATCTCGCGACAGGGATTATCCTGGACTGTCCAGCAGAGCCGATGTAACCCAACTGAAGGAAGGAAGCAGGAGAGTCAGAATCAGAGGAAGATGAGAAGCTGCGTCGCCGGCTTAGAAGGTGCAGGAAGGGGCTAAGAACCATAACTGCAGGCAGTCTCCAGAAGCTGCCACGGGGAAAAAAAATGGGTGTCTCCACGCAGCTTCCAGAAAGAAGGCGGTTCTGCGGCCACCTTGCCCGTAGCCCGCTGGGATCCAATTTAGCCTTCTGACCCCTACAGCTATAAGGTAATAAGTCTGTAATGTTTTAAGCCTGTAAGTCCGTGGCAGTTATCAGAGCAGCGACAAGAAACTGCTACCAGGCTAGACCCAGCTCCTTGGTGTGTCCCATGGGACCTACGTGCAGTGTCTTAAACATCTGGAAATGTCATGATAATGACGCTTACCATGATGAGCAGTCCATAATGTACATAATTGTGGAACCACTACGTTATACACCCGAAACTAATATAATGTTGTGTGTCAACGATACTTCAATTAAAATAACATAGGGGTGTGTGGGTGGCTCCATTGGTTAAGCGTCCAACTCTCGATTTCGACTCAGGTCATGGTCTCACGGTTGTGAGATGGAACCTGGCGCCGGGCTCCACACTGGGCACAGAGCCTGCTTGGGATTCTCTCTCTCTCTCTCTCTCTCTCTCTCTCCACCTCTCCCCTGCTCATGCTCTCTCTCTCTCAAAAAAAAAAAATTATTAAATTTAATTAAGACAAATCTGGAAACGTCACCTAAGAGCTCAAGTCCTAGTTTTCCTTTGGAAACAGCAGCAGCAGCAACAACACTAACGATAGAGGATCTGGCAACAATTTTCCAAATTTCTTGGTGACCGAGATCAGCTGGAGGTGGGCGGAGGCTGCCTCCTCCAGATGGGGTAGGGCTTCTGCGCGATTCCACTGCCCACTTTACTAGCCCGGCCGCTTATCTTGCGGATACAGATCGGAAGTTCATCTCATTCTACCTGAAAGAAGGACCATTACCTTGCTAACGTTTACAAATGAGAAGCTGGGGGGCCCAGAACGGGAAGAAAAAGACGCACGTGCACAAACGGGAACTTCTTTCTTGGACTTCAAAACACAAATGAGAACACACCCAGCTCTCTACATGTGCTCGAAGCTCTTAAAACCTCTCATGGTTTACCTGCAAACGGTGGCCCGAGCAGCGCGGAAATGCCATTGGCACAGATGATGATGCCGTAGGCGTTGGCCAGGTGCTCGATCCCAACCAAGTCTTCAGTCACTACGGGCATCAGGGAGAAATAACCACTGGAAAACCCTATCAGGGCGCAGATGACCGCCAGGCCGGCGTACGTGTGCACCAGCGGCAGGATGAAAATACTGAGGACGAGGGTGAAGTTGGCCATCAGGAAGACATTCCAAACGCTGATGCAAGGTAAGTCGGCCACAACGCCCAGGATCACTTTCGCAAAGATATGCACTATTGCTATAATTGAGGTCAGAGGGAAAACATCGTTTTGCTCGGATAAATTATACAAATTGACTATTTCTGGGAGGTGGATGAAGGGGACGACAAAGCTGCTGTAGGCAAACAGAGCCCAGAAAACGAAGGCGACAAACATCCGATTAGTGAAGAGCGAGGCTGCTCCAAAATAGCCCGAGTACCAGGCTCGGAAGCCCTTCTTGACTCTCCTGGTCAGCTGGCTCGCCGTCTTCAGGACCCGAAAGGCGCCCATGTTCTGGCCGTGCCCTGCCTTCTCTTGGCCCGCCTGGGCGGGGAGGTCCCCGAGGGTCTCCTCATTCCTGGGCCTGCCACCCTTCTCTTCTGCTCCGTCCAACTGTCCGCTCGACTTGGATCCAGGGGACTGAGCTGGGACCACCCGTGGATCCTTCCCTCCACGGTCGTCGTTGAGCTCCTTCCCAGGAGAGAGGGGCCTCATGAGCGCCCCGCAAACACACAAGTTCAAGGACACAGCGCCTTGGATGAACATCGCGTTCCGCCAACCGTACTCCGCGCACAGGTACTTGAGCAAAACCGTCATGAGGAAGGTGCCAAACCCCGTCCCGGTGGTGCTGAGGCCCTGGGCAAGGGCGCGTCTCTTCTGAAAGTACCGTCCCACCATGACCACAGCCGGCAGGTAGGCCATCCCACTTCCAAAGCCTGCGCGGGTTGGACGGGGAGAAAAAGCACACAGCGCCACGTAAGTGACCGTCTCCAGACCTTGCAGCATTTCATTATCATAGTCTCTATACTATTCGGTTTTACTTTTTTCTTTTTTTTAATGTTTATTTATGTTCGAGAGAGACAGAGACAGAGAGTGAGCAGGGGAGGGGCAGAGAGAGAGGGAGACACAGAATCCGAAGCAGGCTCCAGGCTCCGAGTTGTCAGCACAGAGCCCGACACGGGGCTCGAACTCACAAACTGTGAGATCATGACCTGAGCCGAAGTTGGGCGCTTAACCGACTGAGGCACCCGGGCGCCCCTCTATGCTATTGTTTTTACACAAAGAAAGAATAATGTTCGTAACAAAGAAGCTCAGTGGGTAAGCCCGGAGCGGGTCATCCGTGGAAGTTTCTAGTCCCTCATTTCCCTATGAGGCTTTGCAGCACAGCTTACTCCAATAATGAAGTAAGCCAGCATGCTCACATCAGAAGATCCGAACGGATGCAGGCATGAAAAGATGGGTGACTGAACAAATAAATGGATGCCAAGGGCCCTGCTGTCAGCGCTAATTGTACTAAGTACCCGGGAAAGTATTTATGTACCAGCGGCCGCAGAGCAATTCCAGGCAATTTGGAGAAGCCTCAGAAATGGGTCCATTTGTTCACAAATGTATAGGAAGAATAAAAGGAATGTACCCATAAACACACCCAGCTACTGGACGTGAGAACCACAGAATACTTACTTGTATCTCTGATTTTTGCTGCTATCTTTCTCAGAAAACTGGAACAGTTTGTGTTTCCATTGGCCAAATTAAAATGCTGGTGGGGGAGACTGTGTGTGTTGGGGGCGGGGGGATAAGAGAACTGGGCTTTCTACTCGCTCTTGCTACAAACCTAAAACGGCTCTAAAAAGTGAATTTGATTTTAAAAAATGAAATGAAACAAAATGCTGCCCAGGAGGTCGTGGTTTGCATTCTTAACTTATAGGTACAGTGGAAACCATAAAAGCCACTTCAATGACCATGGGGCGCCATATATGGGGCTAATGCGCCATAATGCTTAAGACGTCCCGACATGAGAATGGCGGCATGATAGTACGAAAGAGACTTTGGCCGATGTCGCTCCCCAGAGCTGAAGCCTCCTTAGTTCAGCATCGTCTAATAGTTTCAGAATTACCTGAACTTAAAAGAAGACCAGAGCAGTCATGTACGCAAATACAACACGAACTACCATTAACTAGAGCCAACAGTGGGCCAGTTGCTTTATAGGCTTTATTTGATTTGGGTTTCACAATAACCTGGAAATTAGCTGTGGTGTTGCCTCCCCCCCCCCTTTTTTTTTGAGGGAGAAAGAGAGAGAGAGTGAGCCGGGGAGGGGCAGAGAGAGAGGGAGATTCTCAAGCGGCCTCCCCGCTCGGAGCAGGGCTTGACGTGGGGCTCAATCCCACGACCCCGGGATCATGACCTGAGCCCAAATCAAGGGTCAGATGCTCAACCGACTGAGCCACCCAGGCACCCCTGCTTCAGCCTGAGTTTCTAAAACCAGCCTCAAGAAGCCACCTGCCCCCTTTATTTACCTGAGAGCAGTGATATTTATAGCAACTGTCAGAAGGCAATGATCTTCAACGGTCTTCAGGTGGACACCCTTGTTTTAAAAACAATCAAGCTGGGGCGCATGGGTGGCTCAGTCGGTCAAGCGTCTTGATCTTGGCTCAGGTCCTGATCTCACAGTTCGTGGGAGAGAGCTCCATGTCAGGCTCTGTGCTGACAGCACGGAGTCTGCTTGGGACTCTCTCTCTGCCCCTCCCCTGCTCATGCTCACTCTCTCTCTCTCTCAAAAATAAATAAATAAACTTAAAAAAAAAAAGAACAATTAAGCTAGCTTCCAACTGATTCCCAGCAGAAGTAGGAACAGGTCCCCAAGCCCCCTTGCAAGCCTCCATGAGGGTAATAATAATAATTTGCATTATGTGAGAAATGAGCAGGAAGAAAATGGCTATCCTTAATTTTGAACTAAACTCTAGATTAATCTTTATGATGTTTAAGTCCACAAACAAAACACCCAGAATCTGTCATATCCTAACATTCAAAGAGGCAGAGAAAAATATCCAATAGTCCATAAACACAATTCCTCCTCCCCCTGACTGTAAAGCAAATCCTGCATATATCATTTTGTGTGCAAATATTTTAATATAAATCTCTAAATAGAAGAATTCTTTAACCAGCTTAATCTGAAAAAAAAAATGAAGAATTTCTTTTTTTCTTTATTTAATGTTCATTTTTGAGAAAGAGACAATGCAAGTGGGGGAGGGGCAGAGAGAGAGGGAGACACAGAATCGGAAGCAGGCTCCAGGCTCCGAGCTGTCAGCACAGAGGGGCTCAAACGCATGAGCCGTGAGACCATGACCTGAGCCAAAGTCGGACGCTCAACAGACTGAGCCACCCAGGCAGCCCCAAAATGAAGAATTTCTTGCTGTCATGACATATCCAGAAAGTGTTTGGATTTCTAATTGTCTCAGAAATGACTACATTTTCTTTAAAAACTTGTTTATCTAACCAGGGTCCAAATAAGGCCCACACAGTGCTATTTGTTGGCATGAATTTTAAGCCTCTTGAAATTTCTCTGGTTTTTCCTTGGAATTTATTTGTTGAGAGAACTGGGTCATTTGTCCTGGGAAATTTGTCATAGTCTGGATTTTGCTGAGAGCACAAAGCAAGTTTAATTTTTTTTTAAAATGGATTTGTTTCTGACAATAGCTAGCATCCTAAATTTAATGTGGTTATGGATTTCTAAACACCAGCAGAATCAAATGATTAATAGGAAGAGAACCGAAGTACCTAAGCATAAGCCCTAATTCTAACTCGGTGTACCTAATAGACAATCTCATGTGTGAGGGAAAAAAACCTCCAGGCCCAACGTTGCAAATATCTATTTCCCTGTTATGTTATCCATGCCGTTAACAGCATCCTCCCCTTTCCTAAGGTGGCTTTGCCATCGGTAATGGGCAGGGGTATTCCATAAGCTTATAGGACAGGCCTTACCCAGGACAGGGATATGTGGCTCGAGCCCAAGGGTCAAGCAAGGCCCTGCTGATGTTCAGACCTGGGCAGGGCCCTGGAACAATTCTCTACCACACTCAAGTTCAGAGGAGGGGCTACAGCCCTACCAACAGGGTAGAGGAAAGAGGCCCAGAAGGGGAGAGAAAATCCTGTGGTCCTGGGTCAGTGTGCATGGGAGAAAACCTGTCTTCAGGGGACAGACCTAAGAAAATGGAGCACTGGTAAACTGAAGACATGTGTCCAGACTCCCCCTGCTGAATAAGGTTGCTCGGACAGACATTATTTTTCTGCCTAATAGGATATTCCCACATGGTTTTAATTGTTTAGGTGTTCAGAAAAAGAGAGAGATACAAAGAAATCTGTCTCAAATACTTTTTGGAATGAAGAAGGATAGCAAACATAAATTGTAATGACAGCCCAGGGTTTTGCGTGTATATATATATATATATATATAAGCTAACTGATTTAGCAGGATTTTCTAGTTAAGTATAGTTAGATATGTATTTGTGGGTGAGGTGGATACATTTATTTTCAGGGACTTTCTTTGGGTGTTTCCTGTATAAAAAGTGGGAGCCATAGAGTGCTCAAGATACACTTTCCTTTCATTAGCCTCCTGATTTTCCTTCTACTTCTTTAGACCCAGAAATATTTGTTGAATATGTAAGTGAATGAAGAAGGAAATGAATGAATGTGGAAACAATATTATTCGAAGGTCAAAAAGCAATTAACTGCAAGAAATAAGGTTCATTTAAACAAAGAACCTAATCCTAGAAATCTCTGAATGATGAGAACTCAAGTCTCAGTTTTTAGGATCAAGTCCTAGTCTGTATAACCAAATACCAGCACATCAAGTTACAGGGGCCCCATATGTCTGCCCAGAGACCCCAGTGTGGCTCCTTGATCTCAGCAGGAGTGTTTATTTCCTCACCTATAGTATCAGAATCCCAGTGCTGGCTCTATTCATTGGACCCTTTGGGGGAAAGTTGCTAAACTACTCAGGGAAAACATCTTAAGTTGTTCTTTCAGAGCTGTTACCAAGTCCTTCAGATCAGTGGTTTTCAAACTATGCTTGGAAGGAAACAGAAATGCTTTATGCGGATTGATGTAACTGACAGAGAACCAGCCTGCCAACTTATTTGGAGGGTAGCTTTTTGTGTTCAGGTCTCCTGCTATCATAAAGCAGGCACTTACGCTTATACTATAATAAAGATGTTGCATTCTATACAACAATTACACATGAGCTAATACCTACTGAGGACTCTATTTTGTGGCAAATGCTGTGCCAAGTGCTTTCTACAGATTATCTCAATCATTTCAATAATCCTGTAAACCGAGCACTCTTCATTATCCCATTTAGCATAAGTAAACTGAGGCGTAAGCAGGTTAAGTGATTTGCCCAAAGTCACACAGATAATAAGTGGACAAAAAAAAAAAAAAAAGCAAAACTTCCAAATTCTAATGTGTAACTCTTTTTCCAACACTGTCATCAAGGTGTCATTTATCGGGATTGAAGCTCTGTACTCAAAGAGGAAAGTCAGGCTAGATCTGGTTCACTGCAATAGAATTGTACACGAAACTACTCATCTGTTGCGAGTTCTGCTACCTGTTGATACAGGAAATTACGGCCGGGAATGTGTTTTGCAGAACGGATATGCAAACCACGTTGCCTAGTGGCCAATTCTTACCTATTCACTGGGCAGTGACACTCTCTGCTCTGGACTTGCTTCTCAGAGTCTCTACATATCTGTGGATTTTGTTGCTAATTTCACTCATTTGAAAGGGGCGGAAGGAGAAAATAATTATCCGATGATTCATGCTCCATTCTGCAGTTATTAAGTGAGAGTATGTTATCAATTCTCTCCATATTTGGTCTGTTCACCTATGTGAATTATTTTGAATTGTATTATCACCTTCCCTTTCCTATTCCTCATAAGAAAGAAGACTGGCAACTTAGAACCAATCATGGGAAATTTAATGAGATTCTAATAGGAAGGCCAAGTGCGCTCATTAGGTTGTTTTTCCACACTCAAGGCATATTTAATATCTTATATTAAAAAGTGTTTCCTGGCGTATACGGTGGGGTGGGGGTGGGAGGGAGGAGACAGAAGGACACAATATTTCAATGGGTCTCTTTTCTCCGTAACTATTCATTGCCAAAATGCCCAACAGATAAATTTAAAATCGAGTTTAAAAAAGATCACTGTGCTTACCAGCTGTCACTCCAAAGGTGATAAAGAGATAATGCACGTTTGCTGCGTAGGCACTCAATACCCAGCCGAGGGAGTTCACCAGCCCTCCAATTATTGCGGTCCGGCGACACCCACAGGTGTTAATAAACAAGCCGATGAAAGGTCCTGTCGTGGAACATTGAAAACGGAATTGACCGACGGTGTTTTATATTCGTGCTCTCTTAATCAATCCTCACTTGAAGACAAAGACTACAACATTACTAGGGCTGGTAAATACAAAGAACCAACTCCCCCACTGCTTTATATGCAAAAGGTTTTGCATATGCAAAGTGGGTGTCAGTAACCGCATTGGTGCATGAAACCAAGGTTCTAGGTTTTGAAGGAAGACAGACCTGAAATAAATAAATAAGTTCATTCTCTGGCCCACAACAGAGGTAAGGTCCAAAACTAGTGGTCTATGGGCTTATTCAGCCCGTGGATGCATTTTTAAAATCGAGAACATAGTTTAGGGATGCCTGGGTGGCTCAGTCTGTTAAGCGTCTCTTGATTTTGGCTCAGGTCAGGAGTTCAGGCCCAAGTCATCCGACTCTGTGCTGACAGTCTGCTTGAGATCCCGTCTCCCTCTCTCTCTCTGCCCCTCCCCTGCTTGCTCTCTCTCTCTCAAAATAAAAAAATAAAATAAACTTAAAAAAAATCCAGGGGCTCCTGGGTGGCTCAGTCGGTTGAGCGAACGACTTCGGCTCAGGTCACGATCTCGCGGTCTGTGAGTTCGAGCCCCGCGTCGGGCTCTGTGCTGACAGCTCAGAGCCTGGAGCCTGTTTCAGATTCTGTGTCTCCCTCTCTCTGACCCTCCCCCATTCATGCTCTGTCTCTCTCTGTCTCAACAATAAATAAACGTTAAAAAAAAAAAATTAAAGAAAAAATCCAGAACATAGTTTAAAAGATGTTTTGGATCAGTTGTCAACATTTAAAAATTAAGAGCATTCACAACAAATCCAATGGCAACACAGAGTCCAGTAGCTTCCCACACAGCCAAGACAGCTGGAGCTGCTCCGTAGCTGTGTCCACACTTGACTTTGCCACTGTCACCACCCTTCCCGTTAGTCCTGTGCTTGGCCTCCTGCCCTCATTTATATTAGCTGTTATCTGAGTTTTTGACTCCAGACCTAAGGGGGGTACAGGAAGGGCTCCCAGTTCTCCCACGCTTCCAGCAAATAGCTGAGAGCTTGTGTTCATGAGGACACCCAGATGCAAACCACATTGAAAAGAACTCATCGCTTCATAGTGTACTTCAGCCCCCGCCGACTCTCAGTCCCAGACTGGCCCCAGCAGGCTATGCATTTATGACACCGTGCAGAAGATTCAGGAAGACGCTTCCGTGCACAGCCGACACCAAGCTCACAGCAATACTGTATCGAGCGACACATCCTTACTGCTTACTTTCTTATGACGCTCTAGTTTTTGTCGACCCCCTGTGTTTTCTTCCTGATTTTGTGGTAACTGCTGATGTCGTGGTAACTGCTGATGTCACAGAAGCTTAATGCTTGCCTTGTGATCAGTGATTCCTTATCCAAAAAGCAATCTGTATTTTAGCTCTATGGTGTGAGGCTACATTCAATATTTGGTAAGATGGCACATTTTAAACATCATCTTACTTTTGATCATTATTACTTTTTACAGTTATGGAAACCTATATTCCAGTGGAAATATTTCAGGTTAAAAAGTTGTTAAACTTGGGGCTCCTGGGTGGCTCAGTCGATTAAGCGTCTGACTTCAGCTCAGGTCATGAGCTCACAGCTGGTGGGTTCAAGTTCTGTGTCGGGCTCTGTGCTGACAGCTCGGAGCCTGGAGTCTGCTTCGGATTCTGTGTCTTCCTCTCTCTCTGCCCCTCCCCTGTTTAGGCTCTGTCTCTCAAAAATAAATAAACATTGAAAAAATTAAAAAAAAAATTTGTTGAACTCTAAGGAGCTTCCCCTTTTAGTCCAAACCAAAATAAAATTTTCCTTTAAACCTCTAACTATATTCATGTACGTATTTGGATGCATAGTTTGCTAATGAATTTTTTTTGCCTAATTATTGTGAGAGGGCCTAATCCTAAAAATTATGAAGGTAATGATTTATTAATTTAATTAACTCTGGCACAATACAGGAAATAATCCAGTAGATAAGACTCTTAGAATAAACTTAATGTAGTACATATATTTTATATAAAATAACCACATGGTATAAATAATATATAAACTAAACACACTGACATAAACATCTGAGGGAATTATTGGGGGCAATAATTCTGAAATTCAGAAGCCATAAGTTGAAGCTGTGTCTTTGATTTCTTCACGAATATTTTTATTTTTCTAAACTCACAGTCACTTCAGCACTCAAATCTCAGATAAGTGGATAAAAAAAGAGAAAAAATGCACGATTCATCGGTCTGCTGTTAATAGGCCTTTTAAGCTTAAAAGTATGTTCAGAGGGCCCCTGGGTGGCTCAGCTGGTTAAGTGACTTCGGCTCAGGTCATGATCTCATGGTTCATGAGTTCAAGCCCCATGTTGGGCTCTGTGCTGACAGCTTGGACCCTGGAGCCTGTTTCAGATTCTGTCTCCCTCTCTCTCTGCCCCTCCCCACCTCTTGCTCTCTCTCAAATAAATAAACATTTAAAAGAAAATAATTTTAAAGCATGTTCAGGAGTTCAGGAGCATGATCATATTTTGCATGTAACAGAAGGTCCCAGAAGCAAGTTTTTCTGTGATACTGCATGTTTATGGAACACGGCACTGAGAAAGCATTTGGGGAAAAAGAGGGCAGGGGAATTCCCAAGTAAGAGCAGGCAGTCCCGTCTGAAGGAATGTCCTATATCAAAAAGATAGGATTAATTGCTTTACTGATAAGGACAGTAAGTTGGTAACCGTGTCTGCCTCTTCAGTTCGTCTCTCTTGTGCCAGAGTTTAGTCACATATGACTTGGCGATGGGCAAAGTCAGCCCCAGCAATGTTGTGATTCCTCCATGGTTACAAAACACAGATAAGTCAAAAAAAAAAAAAAAAAAAAAAAAAAAAAAAAAAAAAAGGAAGTCAGACCCAAGCTTTCTGATTCCGTTCCATTTAAAACAAAAATTTTTTAAATCTTTATTTTTGAGAGAGAGACAGAGAGAGGGAGAGAGAGACAGAGTGTGAGCAGGGGAGGGGGAGAGAGAGAGAGGGAGACACAGAATCCAAAGCAGAATCCAGGCTCTGAGCTGTCAGCACAGAGCCTGACATAAAGCTCGAACTCACAGACTGGGAGATCTTGACCTGAGCTGAAGTCGGACCACTTTACCCACTGAGCCACCCGGGTGCCCCATGATTCCCTTCCATTTTCTAATGATTGCTGATGGCCAGTTGATCCCCAAGCTCAAATTACCGTTTCACCGCAATGAAAAGAACTCCCTACATGGTCTAAGGACAAGGGGCAAAGGAGCTGGTGGGTCGTCTGGCTATGATTCCCATTGTTGTGGAGAAATTCAGTGTTCTGGGAATGAGATTCTACACATTATCAGACTCTCCTCTTCAGAAGGAATCTGATTTTGGCCCATTTCCCACGTAATAAAGCTGCAGGGAACACGATGAGGAAGTCACAATTACTTGCCCATCTCTGCATCTCATAGGTTGGAAAAAGCTCAGGTGAGGAGAGAAACAATCTGAGGTGACCTTGGCATATAATCATGGATGAAAGTAGGTAGTTCATTGAACTCCTGGCCTCTTGGGGTAACCCCTCCCTGCAATAGAGCGTCCAGAGCCTCTAAATCAATGACACCCCGCCTTGGCTGAGCACTGGCGTCACTTAAGGGCTTTAAAAAAGACCTGATGTTTGGGTCCCCTCCCAAGAGGTTATGATTTAATGGTCTAGGTGCAGCGTGAGTGGAAGGGAGTTTAAAGCTCTCCAGGGGGATCGGATGTGCAGTCAGGATTGACAACTGCTGCTCCAAATCTATTTAGCAAGTAACCTTTTGCAGCCAGTAGATTCCCCTAACAACATGGCTTCCACCAAGAATTATTCCAAGGACTATCACTAAGGCTGCTCTAGATACGACTGAGGTGATTACATTTTGTTAAAAATTGGGACCTTCGGCAGGAAACTGGCAAAGTCTGTGCTGGCAAAGAAGGAAACAAGAATGAAATTATTGAATTTCCCATGTGCAAGCTACTGCCCAAGAGAGAGATGGCTTTCAACTCTGTAATGTAATTCATGGGTATCTATCTATCTATCTATTTATTTAGAGCGAGCGAGCAGGGGAGGGACAAAGTGAGAGAGAGAGAGAGGGAGAGAGAGAGAGACAGAAAGAGAGAATCCCAAGCACTAACAGTGCAGAGCCTGATGCGGGGCTCGAACCCATGAACCATGAGACTGAAGTCAAGAGTTTGAAGCTCAACCGACTGAGCCACCCAGGCGTCCCATGGATTTGTTTTTTCTAATTTAAAAGGGAAAACCCAATATGCTTCTAATGGTTAGAAAGTGAAAACAATTTATATTTATTCACTTCAAAACCATTTTTAGTTCTCATTTCATGTAATGGCAGACAGTGTGGTGTGGAAGACACGATTTTGGAGTCCAGTGGACCAGCTTTGAAGCCTGCCTCACACTTGTCGGCTGTTCGACCTTCAGTTAGTTGCTTAAAGTCTGTGAGCATTGCATGTTCTTCCTACGTCAGATGGAGACAACGGTCTGGCTCTAGCGTTGTTGTGGGATCAAACGAGATCATATACATAAGGTGCATTTGGCATGTAATAAATGCTACATAAAGGAGAGATGTTCTTTTGGGTTTCTGGCTTGGAAAAATCCCTACATATCTGCAGCCACCCTGTATCAGGCAACCTGAGATAATGAATGGCAGTTTAAGACGATGATAAGATAACAGACCTTTTATTTGTATAACTATGAATGTTTCTGGGTTATTATTTCCAAGGCAAAAGATATTTATCTGGCAGGCACCCACCCTTCCTGTAGAAAGGTTAGTCTACGCACTGAAATTACGCTGTCTGGAATTCACGGACTCTCCAACAGAATTCTGAATTACCTCCCAATAAAAGAGGACAATCACATCTCACCATGGCTCTGAGTTAGGTGTTCTTATTGTGAGGGTCCTATTCAAAATCATTTCCAATAATTTCAAGACTGGCTTCCATTGCTTACTTTTGTAGAACTTGTGAAACACAAAATCGTATCTAAGACAACCTTATTGGATGATTTGGAAATGGGACATTTCGTATGCTGGCTTTTTGCGGAGTCTTCTTTTTTGCGGTGGGCATGCGCTTCCTAGATTGAATCTGTAAGTGTTTTGTTCTACCCCTCAAAGATTTGTTTATTGTAAAGATTTTATTTATTTTTAAGTAGTCATTACACCCAGCATGGGGCTCGAACTCACAACCCCAAGGTCAAAAGTTGCATGTTCCACGGACTGAGCTGGTCAGGCAGCCCTTAAAGATTTAGTTTTTAAAAAGTAAGAAAAATGGATGTTAAGTGTGCTAGAAGCACAGTTTTCCTTCTGTGACCTACTGAAAAGGCTGAATCACATCCAACACAAACGTAGCGTATTCCCTACACTGAAGCAAACCATCCTCTATTTTTTGGATGACGGTCCTTGTTTTAATAAGGCCAGTGCAGGGTTGAAGGAGTCAGTTCCTTAATGTTGCAAGCTAGACCATGTGTCCGTAATTCCCTCACACACATAATGGTGCCCCGATGTAATTTTAAAGCAAGATTAGTATTAATTCCCTTTGATAAACATGCCTACTCCACACACATCTTGAGAAATAACACTTTGTCCTTGTTTTCCATTATTAGCACTACCATGATTATTAATGTTGTTTGTATTATCCAATAACACTGTCTGAATGCCAGCCAAGATCAACAAATCTTTGAGTCGGATTCAAGCGATTAATTACCAACGTGGAGATCACTGAAAAGGGAGGCTTCCATCAAACACACAGATGCCTGTCATACCCAAACTCTCACAGAACCAGAAAAAGATTTGAGGCCATTTATGTTTCTAGTATAAAATATATTGTGAATACTTGAAACTAAAGAGAAATCTGATGTAAAAGTGTGGCTTTTACTTTCAAGAGATAAGGCAAGGGGAAGCACCTGGTTGATAGAGATGCTTATTAAGTATTAATTGACAGTAAAAATTGTTTAGTTCCCAAAAGGAAACCCATGGGCCATAATAACATGTTACATTTATGATAATTGTCTAGCTTGGTATCTCCAACTGCCTACGGATTGCTTTCACAGATTGGTGTGCGCTCAGGTTTAACAAGAAAATATATTATTATTCCTTCCTGTTAGCTAGATCAGAAACTTTTCTAAAAGGAGCTTAGTAGATTTTTCAACAGCATAGGATTGATATCTCAAATTAAATAATTGGAACTCTGAAATAAGATTGTTGCTTGACTTTTATGGTGTTTTCTCTACATTTTTTTTCTTTTACAAATATTCGTTAAGTATTAAAGAATTAAAGTAGTTAAGTATCATTACATCTGTAATGATGTATCATGAATTACAGCAGTCAAGAAAACAGAGTTCGGGGCAAAATTTTTTAATGTTTATTTGTATTAGAGAGCGAGACAGTGCATGAGTGGGGGAGGGGCAGAGAAAGACAGAGACAGAATCTGAAGCAGGATCCAGGCTCTGAGTTGTCGGCACAGAGCCCGATGCGGGGCTCGAACTCACCAGTTGTGAGATCATGACCTGAGCCTAAATTGGACGCTTAACTGACTGAGCCATCTAGGCGCCCTGAATGAAGCAAAATTTTTTAAATGATCAGTTTTTAAGACACTCCAACTTTTTATAATATTCAAATAGTAATATCAGACAAAATGACAAATACTGATGATTCAACTTACATGTCATAGAGACAGAAAACAGAGTGGTGGTGGGACTGGGGAGTTACTGGTTCATGGGTATAGAGTTTCAGATTCGGATGATGAAAAGATTCTGGAGATGGATGGTGTTGATGAATGTACTCAATGGCAATGAACCGTATACCTAAAAGTGGCTAAACAACATTTTTAAAAGTTTATTTATTTATTTTGAAAGGAGGGGTGAGAGGCAGAGAGAGAGGGAGCTAGAGAATCCCAAGCAGGCTCCTCTCTATCCACGCAGAGCCTGATGTGGGGCTCAATCTCACGAACCGAGAGGTCATGACCTGAGCTGAGATCAACAGTTGGACGCTTAACCAACTGAGCCACCCAGGTGCCCCTACCTAAAGGTGGTTAAAAACGGTAAATTTGATGTTATATATATTTTGCCACCATAAAAAAAAAATAGTGCCATCATTAACATCTAGTATCTAATGTTTCAACAGCATAAAAACATATTTACAGTGGAAAACTGTCAATTTATAATTATTCAGTTTTATAAGAGTTCACACACGAACGTACCCACAATCAAGGTGATGCCCATGCTGAGGGAGCTGACCCACGCAGTCAGGCCGCGGCTCTGGTGGAATTCTTCAAGCCACTCCACGTTGAGGACTCCCAGGGCCATCTGGGAGCCCATGATGAGGATGTGCACGAAGAAGGAGGAAAGAACCACCATCCAAGCCCACCCACTGTCAATGTTTGGGTGGGGCTTAAGTGTCTTCTTATCTTTGGGGTCGTCTTCAAAATCATACCCAATATCTTCATGACTTGTATACATTTTCCAAGATTTTCTGAAATACACATGACAAATAATTTCCTTGTACATCAAAGCAAAAGTATCTTTATCTTCCTTGGACAGCTCTACCTCCCCTTTTGTAACCAAAGTGGCCTCATCCTATCAGACCTTCAGATTCGATTTGTCATTGTGCAGACTTGGGAGCACTCCTTACTTTTTTACTGCCAAGCACTTTTGTGAAACCTGTTGCATCTTTATATCAGTGTTATTATCCACTTTTTAAAGAAATGGAAATAGACTCAGAGAAGTGAAATGCCTTTCCCAAGTTCTCATGGCCAGTAAGTCTGGCTACACAGGAACCTAGGAATCAAACTCAGCTATTCCTGACCTTAAAGCCCATGCCTTGTGTCCACTATTGAGATGGGGACTGACAAATGACAACAAAGATGTCACAGAAGGAAGACATCTGGCCTTAAACAGGCTTTCGGGGTAGTTTTGCCTTGGTAGGGCCCTTGGCAAAGCATCTGGTTCTCATTTTGTGTGTCTAAGTGTTCCATTTGTTTGGTACAGCCAGAGTGGATTAGCCTCAGAAGACCAACTCATGTGAACCCAACTGAGGAGAGACTGGTAAACTAGAAGGCCAATTTATTATTTCTACAATGGGAGATATAGCTTTCTAATAACAGTGATACCCAGGTCTTATACACAAGACACATGTTTTTACCCATTCTGCCTACCCTTATTCCAGCATTCCCTGGGAAACTAGAAAGCTGAGCGCTGAGTTTGTACAGGAAACGGACATGATGACTCATGCTCTGCATAGATACATCTCAAGATGTTTGGAGGAGAGACCTGGGGGTTGGATGGAACTGGAGGGGGGCTGTGATGCCAGGTCTGGTGAGGACTCTGGTTTCATCTTTATTTTTTAGGATGATCATTGAGGGCATGTATGAGAACTGAGGATAAAGAGTAAAAGAAGGACAAAGACAGTAATCGTGGAGGTGGTGGGACAGGAGAATTGGTCTTGACCAGGAGGAGCAGTCTGTCCCCTGAGACCAGAAGAAGCAGAGGGTATATGCAGATGACATGCCCAGTAGTGGTATGAGAAGTAACACCTGATGGTCTAATTCTTGGGTGAAGTAGGAAGTTAGGTCACCGGCTGACAATGAAGAGGATGGTGGTTATGAGGGCGCATCAATGTTCAGGAAAATGGAAGAGACAGGTTGCCTACAACAAGTGGCAATGACTGTCAGGGAGTCTGGAAGGTGGAGCTGAGCCCTTCAGGGCATCGCTGCAGAGTCACGGGAGTGCAGCACCAGGGACAGAGCGCTGGAAGCACCGCCCCGGAAGCTGGCAATTAGAGCATCACTGAGGGTCATGAGGGGAGAACTTTAAAACAACAAACCACTAAAAGTTGGTCTGCTTTTTATGATCACTATATGCCTGCAAATCCAGACGACATCACTGATAAAATACTCCTCTCCTCAAAGATCTTTTGCTGGTCAAAGTTTCAAACAATTACATTTGAATTTTCTGTCTGTAAGCTTCAAATCAGCATGGTGCTGTTACTTATCCTTTCGTAGGCACTGTATCATCCAAGGGAGCTATTTCAGAGGATCCCTGGTTATACGGTTGGCCCTGACACGCAGGTGGCCCCAGTTACGCACATCTGCTTTGAGAGTAAGTTCCTATGAGTTCAGAATTGTTGGATCTCTCTGTGGCACAGAGAAGGTCTGCAGCTGCTGTGATGCCACATGTCACCACCTTCAGCAGGACGGTTGAGATGAACTGACAGCACGGTTATCGTAGAGATGAGGAACCGGAACTTGAGTTCTTCACTTCTGTCACTCTATATGCCTACTTGGGAGATTTTATGTTGTTTCAAATGTAAAATAGCAAATGCATGAGTGCAAGATGAAAACCTTCGCTTTGGAAAGTGAAATTTGCAGCCAATACATGAAATGTCTTACTCAATTTAAATAATGTCTTTAAAATAGACATTGATTCCCAGCAAAGAAATAGAATTAGTAATCAAAAATCTCCTCCAAAACAAGAGTCTAGGGCTGGATAGCCTTCCAGGGGAATTCTACCCCTGGAACATTTATTTTTTTATTTTTTAAATTTTTCAATGTTTATTTATTACTGAGGGACAGAGGCAGAGCATGAGCAGGGGAGGGACAGAGAGAGGGGGAGACACAGAATCTGAAGCAGGCTCCAGGCTCTGAGCTGTCAGCACAGAGCCTGACGTGGGGCTCGAACTCACAAACTGTGAGATCATGACCTGAGCCCAAGTCGGACGCTCAACCGACTGAGCCACCCAGGCGCCCTACCCCTGGAACATTTAAAGAAGAGTTAACACCTATTCTTTTGATGCTGTTCCAAAAAAACAGAAATGGAAGGAAAACTTCCAAACTCATTCTATGAAGCCAGCATTACCTTGATTCCAAAACCAGACAAAGACCCCACTAAAAAGGAGAACTACAGACCAATTTCCCTGATGAACATGGATGCAAAAATCCTCAACTAGTTACTAGCCAACCAGATCCAACAATACATTAAAAATATTATTCACCACAACCAAGTGGGATTTATACCTGGGATGCAAGGCTGGTTCAATATCTGCATAACAATCAATGTGATTCATCACATCAATAAAAGAAAGGACAAGAACCACATGATCCTCTCAAATGCAGAGAAAACATTTGACCAAAACCAGCATCCTTTCTTGATAAAAACCCTCAAGAAAGCAGGCATAGAAGGAGCATACCTCGAGATCATAAAAGCCATATATAAACGACCAAACGCTAATATCATCCTCAATGGGGAAAAACGGACAGCTTTCCCTCTAAGGTCGGGAACACAACAGGGATGTCCACTCTCATCACTGTTATTCAACATGGTATTGGAAGTCTTAGCCTCAGCGATCAGACCACACAAAGGAATAAAAGGCATCAAAATGGGCCAGGAGGAAGTAAAACTTCCGCTCTTCACAGATGACATGATACTCTATATGGAAAACCCAAAAGATTCCGCCAAAAAACTGCTAGAACTGATCCAGGAATTCAGCAAAGTCGCAGGATATAAAAGCAATGCACAGAAATCGGTTGCATTCCTATACACCAATAATAAAGCGACAGAAAGAGATTCAAGGAATCTATCCCATTTACAATTGCACCAAAACCCATAAAATACCTAGGAATAAACCTAACCAAAGAGTTGAAGAATCTACACACTGAAACCTATAGACAGCTTATGAAAGAAATTGAAGAAGACCATGCTCCTGGATCAGAAGAACAAATATTGTTAAAATGTCGATACTACCCAAAGCAATCTATATATTCAATGCAATCCCTATCAAAAAAACACCAGCATTCTTCACAGAGCTAGAACAAACAATCCTAAAATTTGTATGGAACCAGAAAAGACCCCGAATAGCCAAAGCAATCTTGAAAAAGAAAACCAAAACTGGAGGCATCACAATTCCGGACTTCAAGATATATTACAAAGCTGTAATCATCAAGACAGTATGGTACTGGCACAAAAGCAGACACTCAGATCAATGGAACAGAATAGAGAACCCAGAAACGGACCCACAAATGTATGGGTCCACAACTAATCTTTGACAAAGCAGGAAAGAATATCCAGTGGAATAAAGACAGTCTCTTCAGCAAGTGGTGCTGGGAAAACTGGACAGCAGCATGAAGAAAAATGAACCTGGACCACTTTCTTACACCAGACACAAAAATAAACTCAAAATGGATGAAAGACCTCAATGTAAGACAGGAAGCTGTCAAAATGCTCGAGAAGAAAGCAGGCAAAAACCTCTTTGATCTTGGCCACAGCAACTTCTTACTCAACACGTCTCCGGAGGCAAGGGAAACAAAAGCAAAAATGAACTCCTGAGACCTCATCAAAATAAAAATCTTCTGCACAGCGAAGGAAACAATCAGCAAAACTAAAAGGCAACCAAAGGAATGGGAGAAGATATTTGCAAATGACATATCAGATAAAGGGTTAGTATCCAAAATCTATAAAGAACTTATCAAACTCAACACCCAAAAAACAAATAATCCAGTGAATGGGCAAAATATATGAATAGACACTTCTCCAAAGAAGACATCCAGATGGCCAACCGACACATGAAAAAATGCTCAACATCAGGGACATACAAATCAAAACCACAATGAGATACCACCTCACACCTGTCAGAATGGCTAACATGAACAATTCAGACAACGACGGATGTTGGCAAGGATGCAGAGAAAGAGGATCTCTTTTGTACTGCTGGTGGGAATTCAAGCTGGTGCAGCCACTCCGGAAAGCAGGATGGGGGTTCCTCAAAAAAATAAAACTAGAACTACCCTACGACCCAGCAATTGCACTACCAGGC